ATCTTTCTTCTATCATTGACAGTCCCTCTAGGTTGTGGGCTGCTTGCCTGTGTTCCTGAGAAGCATCTACGGTACCAGTCTATAGAGTGTGTTTTCTTTAGTGAATTACCGGTATGTTTACCGGTAATAAACTTGCACTGTTTTATGTATATGTTTGATTACATACAGCCTTGTGACAGTTTTCCTGCATGTCATAAGCATTTGAATATAAATTAAAATGTTAAAATCAAATCTGATATTGTTTTACCTTTTATTTGGTGTGTGGAAGGTGTGCGGAAGAGGGGGTAGTCTTATACGGCGAGTATATAACAAACTCTGTATTTTGAGTGGAAATGTTAGGGGGTCGTCTTATACGCCCAGTCGTCTTATACGCCGGCAAATACGGTAGTCAAGGTAATACAACCAGTTTTTGTTGGTAGGTATTGGAACTAGAACCTAGGTTTCCTGCTTATGTTCATTGTATAGCCTTGCCTCTCCACTTTTATATGGAAATGCCTTTTAACAAGTCATTTTTCTGATGCTTGACTGATTATTGGTGTCTGTCTTCAACAGGAGCAGTTCCCTATGTGCAAGCATTTGACTCACTGCTTGCTGGTCCTGTGGCAGAATACTTGAAGATCAGTAAAGAGATTGGAGGAGATGTGCAGAAACATGTAAGAATGTTTTGCCCTTTGCCCGCCTTTTAAAGACTGATGGCTTTCTTTAGATTCTATTTATCCTTGATTTAAGAGCCCTTTGTGAGGCTCACGGCTCCTTTCTAGCTAACTCATGCCTGAAGTTCAGTCCAGACACTGGAACCATCCTCAAATTTTTCTGCTTTTATCACATATTCTATGTGGGCTTCTTTTATATACAGATAACTTGCTTGGTTCATCAAATATGTCTCTGTTCATCTTTGTTGTGAAAACTGCTACCAGTCTCATCCCAACATGTTCTATAAGCAAGCCTATGGTGGCTTATTAAAAAAAGGTCACTATCATGACTTAGCATTTATAACTATGCTTGATAGTTACTGGTTATGCTAATATGAGTTATTTTCACACGTATCCCACATCAGGAATGTGAAGTAGGCAATGACAGGTGCCTGTCCACCCACCTCCCTTCATTTGCTGTTACCTCTCCACCCACTTCCCTTTATGTGCTGCCACCTACTTGTCACCACCACCTGACACTCGTATACATATAGTTGGTCTCTCTCTTTGGGATCCAAAATCTTTCTAGTCTTTTGAGTGATTCACTGTAAGCAATAATCATGTTTAGGATCTTCCTGACCCTTCTGCAGGACTGATTGCTTGATCTTTGGAAGATTTATTTTGAGCCTGTTATAAACCATCTGTTGGCAGTGGTGTTAGCTCCAGAGAATGGGACTGGGCCTTTAATAGGGGTATTAGAAGCTTGCATTTTTACTTTAAATAGTCTGTAACATATGAAAACATTTTAAAACATGTATCACTTTTATATTTAAAATGCAAATCCCAAAGAAATATATTATTTTAATTTTATATTTTAATAGTGCTTATAGCCCATGTTTCTTAAAAACTTTTTTTGACCATGACCCTCAATAAGAAAATACATATTAGTAACAGATATGTTCACAAAATAGCCCTTATAACTACTTGTACTGCACTCTCATTTACTTGTTGTTGGGGGGAAATAATTTCAAGCTGACATACTATGCTTACTGTTTTGTTTTATTTTGTTCTATTTCATTTAATAAAGTGCTGGTTATGGCTCACTAAATTGATTTTGATTAATTACCTCTGAATGGATCATGATCTAACATTTAAGAAATAGCTTTAACTGTGATACAGTGCCAAAAGGAGTAAATACCTTGAGAATTTTAGACATAAATTTAGACTTTTACCTATATTTCTGCCTCTTTTTTTTTAAGAAAATAGGGTCTGTGTGTTGTTGTTGTTTTTGTGAGAGGCCAGAAGGGCTTTTTTGGTGAACTTCATATCACACTCATCTTCATTTCCTGGATATGTGTCCCTGATTAGTTCAAGAGGATCAGTGGTACACGTAATGCTGCCGTCAGTCCCTGGAATCTGGAATACCCGAGGAAAGCAACGCGAAGTGCCTAGGTTGCTACCAAAGTACATGGAAGTGGAGGTTTCAGGTTATTCTTATCAGGACCTCTCCAGTTGTAATGTGTCATTGATAGCTGTTTCTTCTCCTTTCCGGCAGGCGGAGATGGTCCATACAGGTCTGAAGTTGGAGCGGGCCCTCTTGGTTACAGCCTCTCAGTGCCAGCAGCCAGGAGGTGTAAGTTCACTACTAGTTGGTTTTGTTTTGGTGTGATGTTCAGAAGTTGAGAGGTTTCTGCTGATCTATCACAACATGCTAAAATAAACCTACCAGGCTCATGTATGATCACAACAATATCCAGAAGTAGAGTCAGAATTAAAGTGCCAGTTCTGGGACTGTGCTATTGAGTATGTATTGAGTTGTATTAGCTTTTCTTCTGTCATTTTACTTAGGATTGTAGTTACCCCTGGGACTTTGCTGCTTCCCTTTTTTTGTTTAAGAGGAAGTTTACTTTAAAAGTTACAGAGGTAGGAGAAGTGAGCTGTAGAAGAAATGGGCTCAGGGAACAAGTAACAGAGGCAAAAGGGCCCTTGGTGCTTAGGAGAAAGATAAAGGCAAGGAAGATGTACTTGGGGGAAAGGTGTGGGCGTGCTCCATAGAGACAGTGGTGCTACTCTCTTTAATAAACAGCCTTTTTTAGCCTTTTGGTTGAGGCTAAATTCATTGTCCCCTAAGCCCTTTGGGTCACAGGAAATGGTTTTCTTGCTTTACTGTGAAGTGGACTGTAGTAATGCTGTGTAGATCCTAAAACTTCTAAAGTACTGCTTCTCCCCTTTAACGCTACTTCTACCTCAAAATTGTACGCTGCCAAGTATAAAAATGAATTAGAGAAAGTTGAGATTTTTGTTGGAGCCAAAGATTTTAATTTTGTTTCTTCTTTTTGCATTTGGCTTTCCTGGGCAGAGGGGCAATAAAACTCCTGCTAATGTTATATTAAAATCTTTGGACCCTTGGCATGTCTAAATAATGTAAAAAATAGTCTAAGGTAACGTTAAATATATTAGACTTTAATTATTAATCTGTCTTGAATGGTTAAAGCATTTTGTTTAAACCTTTTCTCTAAAACAAATCAGATAGTTGAGACACTATTATAGTTCCCCTGCTGTAGACTAGGGACTGGCAAACAACAGCCCACAGGCCAAATCTGGCCTGCCACCTATTTTGTAAATAATTTTTTTTTTTTTTTTTTTTTGGAACACAGCCATGTTCATTCTATTACTGCTTTATGCACTACAATGGCAGAATTGAGAAACTGCAGAATGTTTGCTATCTGGCTCTTTACAGAAAGTTTGTTGACTTCTGCTCTAGACTGCTAAGAACTGAGAATTAAGATGTTCAGAAAAACTGAGCTTTAGAGAAAGGATAAAAACACAGAAACACAAGCCATCTTTTTTGCTAAGCTGCCTGCTCAAATGACAAACCCCCTAATTACATTTGACTCAACAGATCTCTACTTAGCAGCTGCTATATGGCTAGGAATGTGTTAAAGGCTATAAGGATTGTGAAAGAGGGTTAAGACAAAGCCTTTGTCTTTGAAGAATTAATGAGTTGGCGGGCAGAGGGCGGGGGGAATATAGCATGGGGTCATTAATAGTTTGGGCTGGTGTGTGATACAGTGCCAAAATTGGTTATGCTGATAGTAAGTGCTGTAGGAGGCCATTGTGGCTGGAGTTGGAGGGCAGTTCCTCATGAAGCATGAGGAGCATTTGGATAGATGGAAAAAGAAGAGACCATTATGAGTAAAACCCCAGAAATGAACCAGTATCTCCTATTAGTGGAACAGAAAAGAGGCTGAATTGAAATGGTAGAATTTTGTGATATAGCCAGAGTGTGAGTCTTAATCATGAAAATTTAGCCTGAGAAGTTGGAACTCTATGAGGAGAGAGAGATGAGGAGCATTATTTTAGCCATATGAATCTGTGCAGAATGAATACAAAGTTTATTTGGATGCTCATTGTAGTCCATAAAGAATTCTTGCCTTCAGGATAGAGCTGGCAAAGCTTTTATAGAAAGACGGTAACATGAATCTTTTTCTGCATCTTTTCCTAGAATAAGCTTTCTGACCTGTTGGCTCCGATCTCAGAGCAGATTCAAGAAGCAATAGCCTTTCGGGAGAAGAACCGAGGCAGCAAATTGTTCAATCACCTGTCAGCTGTCAGCGAAAGTATCCAGGCCCTGGGTTGGGTAGCTGTGGTGAGCAGCTCAGCTTCCGTGGGAGGGGAGGGATAGGGTGAAAAAGGTAAGGAGATAGGGCTGGAGAGGATCCGAGTCACCGACAGCTTCTCTTTCTTAGGCACCCAAACCTGGTCCTTATGTGAAAGAAATGAATGATGCTGCCATGTTTTACACAAACCGAGTCCTCAAGGAGTACAAAGATGTGTAAGTCCAGCCATTCCTCAAGGGGTAAAGGACAAACTCAGTTGGATACTTGGAGTAGTGCTTCGGGATTCAGGGCTGCCCGTGGCTGCTGTGTTAGTTCTCCTGTCTCAGGGCTGCTTTCTAGGAAGTTTAGCAGATAATGGCACCTAGAAGGTGCATTTATAAGCAGGAAGTGTTTCTCTTTCCACTTTTGCTTCTTCGGGGTTTGTAGAGGCCCAAAGTTTTCTAATGCGTACCCTTCCAGGTTTAGGAGGTTTTGCTGGAGATAAATGGACTAATAACCTTTTTTTATTCTGACCTGATATGTTTATTTATTTTAAAGCTCTAAACTTGCCCTTTTTTAAAAAATATATTTTTATTGACTTCAGAGAGGGAGAGAGAGAAACATCAGTAATGAGAGAATCATTGATCAGCTGTCTCCTGCATGCCCCCTACTGGGGATTGAGCCCATAACCCAAGCATGTGCCCTTGACTAGAATCGAACCCAGGATGCTTCAGTCCACAGGCCGATGCTCTATCCATTGAGTCAAACGGTAGGGCTGAAGATATGTTTATTGATTTTTAGAGAGAGAGGGAGGGAGAGAGAAAAAAACATTGATCTATTACCCCTCATATGTGCCCTAATTGGGAATTGAACCCACAACCTTATGGTGTACAGGATGCTACAACTCACTTAACCACCCAGCCAAGGCTGGACTAATGCCTTTTAATTTGCCTGTTTAGATAAGATTTTTTTTTTTCCTTTGTTGAGGATTTCCAAACAGCCCACTGGCAAAAGTTTTAGTAAGATTTTCTAGGAAATTATCCTGACTATTGATGTGGTCAGGTAAAGTGAGAGGACGGCTACCTGGCCAGTGCAGGAATTAAGTAAGGGGAGTCATTGTATGGAGTGACTGCAGGTAGCTATTACTTAGCTGCATAGCTACCTAAACCCTTCCTTCTGTTCATCATCAATCAACCAATATTTGTTGAGTAACTACTTTGTGAAGGAGTAAGCCTTCATGTGTATGAAGTATGTCCCAGAACACCAGGCACCTCCTTGATCTTTCTAGCAACCTGGAATTAAGCATCACATGTTTTGATTATACCCCTTCACTTTACAATTGAAAAATACTAGGTCTTATGCTAAAATACTATAAAGTCTTCTAGCTCATATATAAGAAGAGATGAGATGTGAACCATACTTCAACACAATTTCCTCCTGAAGGGAAGTTTTTTGTTTTTTTTGGGGGGGGGAGGTGCATATCCTATATAATAAAAGCCTAATATGCTAAGTGTCCGGTTGTCTGGTCAGCCATTCAACCAATCAAAGCGTAATATGCTAATGATATGCTAAGGCCACTCAACCGCTCGCTATGACATGCACTGACCACCAGGGGGCAGACTCTCTGACTGGTAGGTTAGCTTGCTGCTGGGGTCCAGCCAATCAGGACTGAGCAAGACAGGCTGGACAAGTCCTGGATCCCTCCTGCAGTCCCTCCCTGGTTAACCAACCTCTTGCGTCCTTCCCCGGCCCCGATAGTGCACCGGTGGGGTCTCTTGGCCTGGCCCGAACCCTCTCGCAATCCCAGCTGTTGGACCCACCCCCAAGTGCATGAATTTCATGCACCAGGCCTCTAGTTTTGACATAAGGAACTAGGTCATATAGTTCTCAAGTTTCTTGGAGTCCAAGAGTTTCACAGTGATGGCTTTCACAGTAAAAGATCTCTATCTACTATGGCTTCATGCACAGGATGACTACTTTCATCAGTTTTTATGTATTAGGTTCTGCCTAAGATCTGTGAAAAAAACAGTTTTGCTACTTTTATAAAAAATATCTTTATTTTTTAATTGATTTCAGAGTGAGAAAGATAGAAACATCAGTGATGAGAGAGAATTATTGACTGGCGGCCTCCCGCACACCTCCCACTGGGGATCGAGCCTGCAACCCCAGGCATGTGCCCTGACCAGGAATCGAACCGTGATCTCCTAGTTTATAGATTGATGCTCAACCATTGAGCCATGCCGGCCAGCCAGGCTATATATATTTTAATTGATTTTATTTTATTTTATTTTAAAGATATATTTTATTGATTTTTTACAGAGACCCAGGTACATGCCCTTTCAGTCCGCAGGCCGACGCTCTATCCACTGAGCCAAACCGGTTTCGGCTATATATTTTAATTGATTTTAGAGAGAGGAAGGGAGAGAGAGATAGGAACATTGATGAGAAAGAAACCTCAACATCTTTCGGCTACCTCCTGCACACCCCAACTGGGGATGAAGCCTACAACCCCAGCATATGCGCTGACCTGGAATTGAACTGTTCATGGACCTGTACTCAACCACTGCGCCACATTGGCCTGGCAACAGTTTTACTATTTTTTTTAAAAAAAGTTTGAATAATACTGCTATAAGAGAAAGATATAATCTTAACACATTGTTTGCGGGTAGTTTTTATCGCGCGCTAACAGGTGGCGCAGGCCATTTTTGCTAATTTTTTGCGCAAATGGCAACGTTCAGTAAAATTACGATAACTTTAGTTTACGTATTTATACGTTATCCGCATTCTACCGCTAGTCTATAAAAAACGTATTAATACGTGTCCCGCGCTCTACTACAATGGTAGAAGGTACAAATACGTAAAACGTATCAACACGTTTCCCGCACACAATGTGTTAAGTGCCTACCTAATGGACTTTGGTCTGATTAGAGAATAGGTTTAAAAAAAAAAAGAAGGAAAGCTCAGTGATGATAGAAAAGCTACAATTGAGCAGAGCCTAAGGAACACCAGGCAGGAGGATGTGAGCTCACAGAGGATTCTGGAATCACTATGTAATGTGCCCTGACTGCCCGTGATGAGTGCTTTAATTTTTCCAGGGATAAGAAGCATGTGGATTGGGTTAAAACTTACCTGAGTATATGGACAGAGCTGCAGGCTTACATCAAAGAGTTCCATACCACCGGGCTGGCCTGGAGCAAAACGGTCAGTGAATCCTCCTTTTTACTCACCCAGGATGGGGTCCACAGGTCTCTTAGACTTGGGCACAACCAAGGTCCCGGAGCAATGTTAGTCTTTCAGTGGAGGGTAGAAAGAAAAAGGAGAAGGAAAGGGAAAAAAGAAAGCAAGAGTCAGATTATTCATTTGTGTTCAATTTCAGTAAACATGAGTAGGGAACAGTGGAATGGAGGGGAGACAGATTAATGAGTTACATTATTTCAGCACTCTTAAGGCTTAAAAATATAGATACAAAACCCCAATATAAATCATCAAAATAAATGCTATAATAAAGAGAGACTACAGCAAGCATGTCAAAGTTGTGGCCGGCGGGTTTAAATAAACGAGGCGTGGAGCTCTTTGGCCACGAGTTTGACATGCTTGCACTACTGAGTATGAGAAAGAGGAATGATTCTCACTGGGAGAGATTGTACTGTAGGGATATATTCTGGTCTGAGACTTTTTGCAAGTCTAAGGCAGTGAGAAGTGGGGGGAATGGGGAAACGAGCACGTGACAAAGCTTAAAGTAAATACAGAAAAATCGGTCATCTCGGACTTCAATAAGGAAAGATAGACTTAAAGGAGAAAGGGCAGGGAAGGAAAGTAGGTTGAGACTTTTAGACTTCATAATAGGTGATAATTATAATCGATATTTGAGCAAGAAAGTGATAATGATCAGATTTGCCCTTAAGAGGGCCTCAGTTTCCAGGTTAGGGATAAGGACATATGCACAGATTTTGAAAGTGTTCCTAGTGCTAGGGTCTGCTGCAAAAGAATTTGTAGGAGATGTAATCAAAATACAAGGAAGATTTAATGAGATTGAGGGGTTGCAAGACTCAAGGAAGATTGAACAGCCAAGCGTGGGAGCTGAGATAGAGATGAAGTGGTGATTAGACAAGTAGGGGAGCAGGCAGGAGATGAAGAACTCAGTCTTGGACTTGTTGAGTCTGAGATAGTGGTGACACACTTAAGTATATTTTTAGAAGTATGGGTTTAGAGTTGGATTAGAGGCTAAAGAAAAAATGTGAAGGGTGAAAAGAGCTGAGTTGGATCTTAGAAAGGGTGGGAAGGAATAATCAAGCTTTATTGGATAGCTTGACTAGTATTAATCACTGTATCAGGGGTGTATCCTGCACACATGTAGGACCCAGTTGGAAATGGTACAGAGGGGAAGAGAGTATGACTGTTGTTTGCGTTTATTGTTCCAGGGGCCTGTGGCAAAAGAACTGTGTGGATTCCCATCTGGACCCTCTGCTGTATCAGGTCCTCCTCCCCCACCACCAGGCCCACCTCCCCCACCAATGCCTACCAGTTCAGGGTCAGACGACTCTGCTTCACGTTCGGCACTGTTTGCGCAGATTAATCAGGGGGAGGCCATCACACACGGTGAGTACTTTGGCAAGAAGAGTTGGTACAGTAAGTTGCTTGGGCCAAACCTTACCAACTAGGGATTGGACAGCGTGAAAAGCTGAACTCTGGTTTGTGTATGGTAGAACTAATTTGGGGTGTCATATTACATTTAGTTGCCCAAAGGGACAGCAGAGTTGGCTTAAATAGGAATTGAAATTAGGTGATTGTAGTTGGAGGAAGCCAACTTTAGAGGAAAGTGATTTATTATTAAGTGGCATGTACTGAGTCCCCTGTTGTGCCAAGGCATGGGGCCTGCAATTTTCCCCAGAGCTTTTTCCATGTCTACTTGGGACGACAGTGTGTTGGGGGTTAACTTCCTCAGCAGATATATAATAGTCATAGAAAATTTGCATAAGAATTACCTAAAGTTGGAGTAGAAAAAGTATATACTCTTATATAGCAGGCAGAAGTCTAAATTATACAGCCCTATTTTGGGGATCTACTTATAAAGATATCTAAAATAAAGATCAGTTTTATAGTATTAATAGTAGCTAAATGGTGTAACAACCTAAATATTCAACAGTAAGGGAAATCATTAATTGTAGTTTATCCTCTTGATGAAATACTATGCAGTCATTAAATCTCTTTCTGCAGTGAACCAAGCAGAGTTTACGAAAAATCTAGTATTTAAACTACTACCACCAGGAGTGGTGGAGCTAAAAAGGCCATTCAGTATTGGCTATGTAGATTGGCCATGTTCAGGAGTAAGGAGTGGGTTAGCCTGTTGAGAGTAATTGTGGAATCTTTTCCCTAAAATTAAAAAAAAATTAAAATAGCCCAGCCAGCGTGGCTCAGTGGTTGAGCGTCAACCTATGAACCAGGAGGTCATGGTTCGATTCCTAGTCAGGGCACACGCCCAGGTTGCGGGCTCAAACCCTCCATACATACACATATGCCATGTTTTATCTTTTTGAGTGGATCTATGTAAGTTAACCTTAGGGTAGAAGAGAAATTATCAAGGTACTTCTCTAAAATTGCTTTTGAGAGACCATTTCAAAGGCTCTAGTTTTGGCTTTAATTTTTTGTTAAGAATCAGTCTGAGTTAGTTATTGCCTCAGCCCCAAGCCCTGATATGAAGGACAGAAACAAGACAGCTTGTTGTTCTTTCAGCCCTAAAACATGTCCCTGATGACATGAAGACTCACAAGAACCCTGCCCTGAAGGCCCAGAGTGGTCCAGTACGAAGTGGCCCCAAACCATTCTCTGCACCTAAACCAGGAGTTAACCCATCCCCTAAACCAGCCACGAAGAAGGAGCCGGCTCTACTTGAACTGGAGGGCAAGAAATGGAGAGTGGTGAGTTAATAACTCCGGGCCTCGGGTAACAAGGAGTGGACGGGGTTTTAATGGAGCACAGCCAAATAAATGCAGGGTTCTGACTTAAATTGCAAGAAGGAAAGTTTGTGATAGTCTGTTTTGGGGATGGTGTGTGCTTAGCAATGAGCTTGCTGAAAGGGGTATCTCTTTAACAGGAAAATCAGGAGAACGTTTCTAACCTGGTGATTGATGACACAGAGCTGAAACAGGTGGCTTACATATACAAGTGTGTCAACACGACATTGCACATCAAGGGTAAAATTAACTCCATTACAGTAGGTGAGTCCTTGTTGTCCTAGGCAAGCTCTGTTTTAGAGCCTGAGAGGGCGGAACCATACCTACCTTGTTCCTAAGATTCTTAAATATATTACTTTCCTTTAAAGTTATACTGTTGACCTGCTCCCTTTCTTCTAGATAACTGTAAGAAACTCGGTCTGGTGTTTGATGACGTAGTGGGCATTGTGGAGATAATCAATAGTAGAGATGTCAAAGTTCAGGTAACTTGATATTTTGGCTTTTTCCTTTGGTCTCTGAGGAATTAATTGAAAGAGACACAGAGCCGACCCACAGATGTTGCTGTGGTGGGAATCTGATTCTACAAAGTCTGTAAGCTGAGCTGCTTTGGATGTGGCAGAAGCGGAGTTGGCTCTTAGAGTGAGCTCTTTCCAGCACCCATCCCAGCCTGCCCCGAGTATCCAGTATCTGTTGTGCACCTGCAAGCTTTTCATGTAGTTGTTAAATCATGTGAAACAGTGGAAGCTTTTCCTGTAAATTTGTTATTCTCCCCAACTGCTGGGACTTAGTGTTCTTGGTGTTCTCTGCAGGTAATGGGTAAAGTGCCAACCATTTCCATCAACAAAACAGATGGCTGCCACGTTTATCTGAGCAAGAATTCCTTGGATTGTGAGATCGTCAGTGCCAAATCTTCTGAGATGAATGTCCTCATTCCTACAGAAGGCGGAGACTTTGTAAGTTTCTTGATCTTTTTAGTATTGAGATCAGAAGGGACCGAAGACTTCTTACATTAGACAAAGTGAGTTGAGGGGCATTCTGCCCTGAGTGGGTCAAACTCAGCGATGCACACTTTAAGCAGAGAGAAGTGTGACATAGTCACACGAGGTAGTGCTCCAGAGGAGGATAGTAACGGCCTTCCTTAGGTTGGGCAGCTACTCAGGTAGTAAAAAGGAAAGAGAATGTGGCACAGCACTCTGTTGAGTTGGTGCCATGAAGCCATACATCTTCTCATCTATGCTTCATAGGCTTAGTCTGTTCAACATCACTATCAGTGAACTGTACGGGACAGATTCAAACCTGTACCTGCTGGCTTTGGAGCCTTTGTTCTCATTCCTACACTGCAGCGCTCCTCCACTGTGTCACTGGTAGGGGAGGCATTAGTAAAAGATGTGGTGGCAGTGCCAGTGACATAGCCTTTTAAGGGAGGGTTTGGTTTCTCTCACTACATTTTGCCTGCTCTCAGAGCTTAGTGGAAATAAGCAAAGGAAGAAAAGTGTAAGACTGAATCCCAACTTATTTTTTTGCTCATATTTAAACCTGTTTATTTGCAGAATGAGTTCCCCATCCCCGAGCAGTTCAAGACCCTATGGAATGGGAAGAAGTTGGTCACCACAGTGACAGAAATTGCCGGATAAGCGAAGTGCCACTGGGTTCTTTGCCCTCTCCCTCACACCATGGGATAAATCTGTATCAAGACGGTTCTTTTGTAGATTCCCTCTACCTTTCTGCTCTTAAACTGCTTCTCTGCTTTGAGAAGCACAGCTACCTGCCTTCACTGAAATATACCTCAGGCTGAGATTTGGGGTGGGATAGCAGGTCAGTTATCTTCTGCAGGAAGGGGCAGCCTTTTCCTGTCAGCTCAACCGCACCACCAGTCTGCTCTTACGGAACTGCAGACCAGGACTGGTGTGTTTCAGCTTTCAGCCTTTGGGGATTATTCCACCAATAGTCTTTTGGGAAGAACAAAGCAGTCCCCAGGAATTAACAGCTCAGAAAGTTCACACAAATTAATCTTTTCCTAACAGTGAGCATGAGGTAGCAGAAGCTGGTGTGATTCCAGCTGGGTCTTCTAACAGACTAATTTTTCACTGTTGACAAGTGAGACAAGTGTTGCATTGGACCAAAGGCTGAAGCTTGGCCATCTAGCATTCCAAGCAAAATTGTTTCCTCTAAGTATTCCTTTTATTCTGCATTCCATCCTGGCTCCACCTGAACCTGAGATAATAGGTTCTCCTGTACCAGCTGCTGTGGCAGTGCCTGCACCCAGGCCAATTTAGAGTCTTGGACGCTTTCTTTCTCTGGGATCCCTGCCCAGCACCTTCTTAGAGATGACATAAAAAGAGAGGGGGAAAAAGGAAAAACGCACCATTCTAAGGAATCTGGCATTCCTTCCTCCCATGCTAGGTGCCTGTCATCCATCTTCACTGTCTCCATTGCCCTGTCATGCTCAACAGCTTTTGGCTTCTGTCCAGGCACCTGAACAAAGGACTACAATCTCCACTGTAGGCTGGTTTTCGGTTTTATGTAAGAATCTTGCACAGCATCGCTAATATAAATTTCAGTTTTTCCCTCTAGGACAAACACATACCAAAATATGCAACTTTTTTTTGGTGGGAAAGAGATATTGTCCTGTGACTTCTACCCATTTCCTGAGGCCTGTAGAAATAAACCTTTATCTACTTAAAGTTATACAGAAAATAGAATAAAATTAATACCAAACTTGCTTAGTATTTACCTGTGATATTTATTGTACAGAGTTGTAAGAATATTGAAAACATGACACGAAGTTTAAGAAGCTACTCTTTAGACAACCTCATACAATTCTTTTCACATCCCCCTGCTTCTTACCCTTAAGCCTCATCTTTTAGTTGGAAAATAAGGCATAAGTGTAGGAAAAATCACAAAGAGTAAACTTTACAGCACTAACAAGATACTTTCTTGTGTAGCTAATCATTTCCCAAACTGACATTCTGCACAAGTCAGTTTTGATAGGTTTTCACGGGCAGGGAAGTTGGGGCTAACATGTTCAAACTGCTCAAATAGTGTGGGGAATGGTAGAATAAGGTTAGTTTTCTGTAACATAACAGGAATTCTCAGAGTCCTTAATATGGGTTGATCTCCAAGGAGAAAAGGGATGTGCAATATTCCCCAAGCTTTTTGAGGAAACAATCTTTTTTTTTTCTCACAGAACACATCTTAAACAAGTTTGGAGTGTACCAGTAAATATGATTTTTTGTAATGGAAATTAGCCTGATCTCCATGTTTTCCTCCCATTCTCTGTTAATACCAGTAACAGAGTGACTTAATCCAGACCACTAGTTATATTAAGAGATGACATATTAAGGATGGAATGGAAAGAACCAGCCACCTCCTCAGTTTTCATTTCCATTTCTACATTTTTCTTCACCTCCCTTTCTAAGTTAAGCAATACCCACACTTCCTCCCTTAAACAATCCAATTGGGTATTACTTCCCTCCTTTTATTACAGCAACTAATGTATCACAATCGGAGGAGACCAAGAGTGCTACTGAAGCTAGATGGTGGGATAGTAGAATTTGTCTAATTGCTAAAGACACTACAGAAGAAAACATACTCAAGTAGAGGAGGGTAGCCTTAGATTATATAGCAACATTCAAGCAATACTCTTGTAAGCACTGGTTAAATCCCCACCAGCAAAACTGAGAAAGCATGTCTGTGACCACCTCAGGTCTAGGTATTGGCCTTCTGGCTTGAAATATGGCTAGATTTATGTGAGAAAGATGTTTGCCCTCAGAATCTATGTCACTTAGTTTGTTCAGTCTCTTCTGGGCCTGGGCACAGTCCTGGCACTGACTTGCAGCAAACTATTTCCTGCGACAGCTTGACTACATCAAATGGTTGTAAAATAATCTCTGTGGTTATTAACTAATTAAACTTGCATTCAACACCATATGCTGATAGGATGAGGCAAAGGATAAGATTTGGATCTTAGATCTTTCTAAGTAGGTCATGTTAGATGATGACTAGAGAAGAGGGTTAGTTGCAAGCTGGACCTGTGCTCCGGCTTGGGCATGAAGGGAGCAGTCTTCACTCGTTTGAAAGTGCTGGGGGCTCCCTGAGCTCTGGTGCAAGTTGCAAAGGTTTCACTCAAGGAAGGGTATGATGTGGGCATAAAACCATTCTTCAGACAGTTGAAGATGGTCTCCTTCCACAGCCAGGAATACTAGTTGTCCTGCATTGTCCATTTCTCTCAGCCCCAAGCGGTCCTGCAGAGAGAAGTGCCATAATTAATCAAAGGGCTTACTGAAAAGTTTTGGAATAAAAGAAAAGGTTAGCTGAGCCCTGGCCGGTTTGGCTCAGTGAACATCGAGTGTTGGCCTGGGGACTAAAGGGTCCTGGGTTCGATTCCAGTCAAGGGCACATGCCTGGGTTGCAGGCTCGATCCCCAGTAGGGGGTGTGCAGGAGGCAGGTGAGCAGTTAATTCTCTCTCATCATTGATGTTTTTTATCTACCCCTCTCCCTTCTTCTCTGAAATAAACAAAAAATAAAATGTTAGCTGAGATATATTCTCAAAATGCAATCTTTTGCTTAAGTATTACAATTTAGGTGTATTGTCAAAAATGTCAAAAAGGATACCTCCTATTTTTTTCCCCTCAGCATTAAAATTATATGCAGTTGAGATTATTCTATAGTTTTATATTTTGCTTTCTGAAGTTTTCCAAACCTTTTGGAGGACAAAACTGCCTCCAAATGTCAGTTAAGTGGAACTGAACCAAAGACAGGAGAACATTAGCTCAATAACTTAAAAAACATCCAACCCCTAGGTAACAAATCTGGGACACTTTCATATCTTGCAGTTGAAAACATTGCCCGTGTGCCACAGAACAAATATGATGTGAAGATGAGCAGTTATGACAGTGTCAGAATGTTGCTTCTGTGGTTACCATCAGTTTGAGTTTCACAATAAGGAGGCTCTTAAATTGTGATTTCCAAAACTTAACAGACCCTAGCTTCCCTCTTATCCATATGAGGGGCATCAAATGTAAGAGAAAAGCCAAGAGAGGAGACTAGGCTTCTGAAATGTAAAGAAATTCGAGTAGAAGACAATTGGTTCAGACATAGCTCATGCATTTTGGGGAGTGTATCTCCGATAGTCTTTAGTGTGGAGCTGGAAGTGGTGAAATGCAACCTCTGCTTGAGAAACCATCTACTGCAAAAAGGAATTCACAACTCTAGTCCCATAACCTGCAGGAGGAGCTGTCCCTGTCAGTGCCTAATTTAAAACCACTTCCACGACTATTAATGTTTTAAAGTAACGCCCGTCTCCTGTTTTCATTATGCCTAGGGGGCTTGTTGGATTTGATCCAGTTCTCAGCAAAAGAAGCCAGTTCTAACCTTTTTACCAGAAAGGAGATAGAAAGGATGTGTCCCTTGGACATGCTTGAAAACCATGAGGTACAGGTCCTTCGACGTTCAGGATGTAGATTCTATAGACCAGCACCTAACAGACTAGCCCAACAGTCAGCAGCCTACCCAGCCTCACCGAGACGGGTCAGACGCCTCACGACCACTTACTGCTTTGGGGTGTACAGGACAGGGTCTATCACCCAAGAACCCGGCAGCTTCAGGAGCCGGGAGCTGAAAAGGACAGCACCTCTCCCCACCCAGTTACCTGTGTGTATAGAGTGGTCTTCTGTAAGGGAATGGTTTCCTTGTCTTGTCCACTTCTGTAAAATCCAAACCACTGCAGGAAAGGAGGAAGAAATATGCAGATCACACACATAGCATATATACTGCCAAACTAACTTAACACTGGCTGGTAGCTAAGCCGAACCAACAAACGACGTCATGAAGGTGTAGTAAGATGGAAAAATAGAATATGTCTTGAGTCATCTCTTTTTTAAGGGTAGATCTTGAGAGATGAGTTATCTTTTCCAAAGAGCTTTCCAATTTCCCAAAATTTCTGCTTCTGATAATTATTGAGCAACTACCCTCTGAAAATCCTTGTGCTGAACTAGACACTCAAAGATGAATACACACATTCACTGTTTTTCAAAAATCTCTAGTATAATGAGGCACAGAAACAACTAATTGTTTAGCATACTTTTCTATAAAGGTCACATACAAAATATTTTTGGCTTTAAGAGCCACATGGTTTCAACGATTCAATGCTGCCATTGTAATGCAAAAGCAGCCACAGACAATATTTTTAAAAACTCGAGTATGGCTGTGTTCCAATGGAATTTTAATTATGGACACTGAAATCTGAATTTCATATAATTTTCACTTCATCAAATATTTTTTACTTTTTCAACCACTTAAAAATGTAGAAACTATTCTTAGTTCATGGGCCATACGAAAGCAAGTGGAAGGCTGGATTTGGCCTGCAGGCCATGTTTGCTAGTTCCTGGTGGTCTGATGTGATGAGTGCTGTATCTACTTGAAATAGGATAGCATCCTAGGGAGAACCAAGATGGCGGCATAGGTTAACGCTGGAGTTTGCTGCCTCGAACAACCACTTCAAAAGTGAAACTAAAAGACGGAACGGACATCACCCAGACCCACAGGAAGGAGTTATGGGGGAAAAAAGAGGAACAAATGTAATAATCTGAACAATAAAGATTTAAATTTAAAAAAAAAAAAAAAAAGAAATAGGATAGCATCCTAAATGGATAAAGTGATCTGAGATTGGCCTTGAAAGGTAAATAGGAGTTTGTCAGGTGGAGAAGCCCAGGGAAGGGCATTCTAAGAGACTGAAAAGCTTGAAAAAAGGCATGCAAGAGAAAAAGCATAGGCCAAGTTTGGGGCATTTCAAGTAGTACAATGTGATCCGAGAATCTAAAGTGGATAGTATAGGAAGATTAGGTTGGAGAAACAGGCTGAAGCCAGGTCAAGGCAGACCTTCAATGTCAACCTTAGGGACTTACAGACTTTGAGCTGGTGATTCTGAACTGGGTCACAGGTCTCTTTGAAAATCTAATCAAAATTATAGTCCCTCAGAGAATTCAACGTTACCATTTTGCATACTCTGGGTGGTGTCGCATTTATAGACCTCAGGTGAAGAACCCCTGCCCTACACAAAGGTTGGTGGACGGACTAAGGTTTTTCCCCAAAAGTCATTTACTCAAGGTCTCCTGTCTTGTGGCCTGCCCAAGCAGTCTCACCTCAGAATCCACAGGGTCCACAATGGAATCATTGAGGAATTTCACCATCACAAACTTCTTCAGGGCCATAAGGTTTTTCTTGTAGGACTCATTGACACCCTGGGGGGAAAGGCCAGCAATATCTCAGAGTCATCATCAGGTTCCAGCCGGGGGATTAAAGCCTTTCAGGCTGCTTTTTCAATTTCCTGCCCAGAATATACCTTGTACAGCCTTTTTCTTAACATCCTATCTACAACCAGGGTGCCATCATTAATCTGTCACAGCACTCCACAGGTATCCGGCATATAGGTTAAAGGCATCTAGCCAGAGAAAGCCAAGGCAAAAGAAGAAGCTGCAAGTTCTGAGTGGTTCTGCTATACAACTGTTTTTCCCTCTTTCAAAAAAAAATTGTTTTAAAGAAACTCCAGTGTTGACTGGTCGGCTCAGTTGGTTGAGCATCATCCTATGCACTGAAACGTCACTGGTTTGATTCCCAGTCAGGGCACAAGCCTAAGTTGCGGGAACTTGGTCCCCAGGGTAGGGGTGTGGGTACAGGAGGCAACCAATCAATGTTTTTTTTCTCTCTCTCTTTTCCTTCCTC